TTGTCAATTGAAAAAGCGTTCCATACAAACTCTTGACCGAACGGTTCTGGCGAGAAAAGAACGGGTGCAAAATTTCAGATCGATATCTCAAAAACATCGCATATAAACAGACAGACAAACCGACAGACATGGCTAAATCGACTCAGCTCGTCATACCATATTTTATATAGTCTCCGACGGTGTCTTCTGCGTGTTGCAAACTTCGTGGCAAAGTTAGTATACCCTGTTAAGGGTGAAATTCTACTGTATCAATTATTTAAAGGGTATACATATTTATACACAGTAAAGTTTATGAAGAAAAAATTAAATATTTTTCGAGTTATACGCCATCTCCGACGGCGCTAAAACAAAGGTATACCTACCGTACCTACGGTCGAAAAAAATCAAAAATTGCCAAATGGCGGAATTAAAAAAAAGGTGAAATTTACTCCAAATTTTTATCGTTTTTGGCCTGTCAAAATTCATTTAACACTAGAACTACATAGATTTACCATATATCTTTTTTAAATAAGTCTCTCTCTCTCTGAAAATTAGAAGCGTCAGAACAAAATAATCTCTAATATTATACTATACACAAATTTAATAAAAATCATAACATTATCGTAAAATATTAAATAGGAATAAAGAGGAAATGGTATAAATAAATGATGCAACCGGTCATTTTAACCGGTTCGTTGTTCTAGTGTTAAAGGTATACTGATTAAGCTGGAACTGGGCGGTTACATTTTTGAAGGCTTTAACTCAAAAACGACTTTAGTTATCGATTTAAAATTTTAGTATGATATTTTTAAACGGATAACCTATCGGAACAAGGAAAAATAGAAAATAAAAATACAAACATACATTTTTTTTTAAATTTCACACACCAATTTATTTTATGGATCGTTGCAAAACGAAATCCAATGAATATTTCCCATCAAATAAGGAGTTGGGTGTAAACCGCATCAGTCTGTAACAGTTTTTTAGATTTATTATGTTATTCACTTCTTTCCTAAGCAAATACTTTGAAGCTGAGATAAATCCTGATTTGATGAACACACATATGTATCAAGTATGTATATACATATACAAATATAATATATACATAAATCGAAAGAAGAATCTAAATGAGAATTATGAGGACAGAACTCTTTATTTTGGTGTTTAGGTATTATTTTACTGAATGTACAATTTTAACACGAAGACAAATGAAAAATATAAACAAGCCCATATGATGAAATAAAATATTTTAACAAATTTTTATTGTTGGAAATACAAGAAATGTGCTGTAGCATTTTCCACATTTCGCCTTCTGAACATGTTAGAAATAATTATTCAACTCAACTTTGAAACAAAAGACCAATTAAGAGAGATGTCAACTTCTGCAGGATAATTCTAAGTTTTAATGTATTCGAAAAGTAGTTTTGGCAACAGCGCTGCCCAAACCAGGAAACTCGAATATGAATTGGCAGAAATGTACAAATATATGTATGTGTATGTGTACTCTTAGCCGATTCAAAGTAGACAACTGAACGAAAAAATTCTGCTAAGCCTTAAATTGAATTGATATGAGAGCACAAAAAATGTTGCCAAACAGTTGAAAGTCATCCGATGACAACAACAATACAACTCAACATTACAAAGCTCGTCCTTATTTCTTAACTTTGGCTTTGGCTACTTGCACACGAGCATGCACGAGCACACAAGGCACGGCATTGACACGAGCCGACACTGTGGCACTCAAGTGTGGAGAGGAATACACACGATGGGAGAGGCAGGATCGAGGGCACAAGTGAAGATATATTGTTAATGTGCATACAAAAGCTGACAGACAGCAGTGAGGACAATATTAGCAGCCAGCCGAAGCACAAACAAACAATATAAATAGACAGACAGACGAATAGGCGGACGGACGGACTTATAGTTAAATCCGCTGCAGGGCATTTCATATGCCACATACGTACATATGTTAATAGGTATATAGATATGAGTTTATGTGTGTGCTTACACAAATATTAGTGGCGCTGTTTTGCCGTTGGACGTGCTTTGTTTCAGAATGTGCACAGATGCCTGCATTGTTCTCCTAACAATAGTTGTACCACCAATAACAACCAACTCTATCATAAAGTTAGAAAAATTGTTGTGCACACATACATATACATATACATACATACATGCTTATGTAAATTGCTTTAGATAAATATAGAATTCGTTGTTTAAAGTACACGTGTGGTTTGCCTTGAATAATGCAACACAATGCGAGTCCAAAGCCGACGACCGATGACCGACGACACATAGTGAGTCCTGCCATTTTGTTCATCTAATGCATTGTATAGGTATTCCTACGCAGGCATATAAAGTTATGTGGTAATGTTTCCACATAATGTAATAATAATGGAAAATCCCAAGCTCTCCTCCTACGTTAATCAAGAATCTCTATTCACTGCTACATTGAATGAAATATGGCAGGGGCATGATATATCTACTCAATTAGGTACAAATTAAACAATCAATTGTGACTTGTCAGCTCTGTACCCATCAACCTACCCTACCTCTGTAGGACCCATCAACTAAGAAAAACCAGATATAACGTCAACTTTGGCTGCACTTTTCACAGGTGTATTTCTGATAGGATAAAAGAGCATAAAAAGATCTTTATCTGACTATATAGTTTAACAACATTTTTTATTTAAATAATGACGGATATTTCTGTCACCGATGACTGTCACGTGACTAATAAAATGCTAATAATTCATAACTCTTGTTTGTATATAATTTCAAAGGAATAAAATAACCAAAATAATCAAGGATTTAAATTGAATGATAAGGAGAGTACTCATATATCATCTTGGTATGAAAATTTAGGTCCAAACCTGTGAATCAATGAAAAGTTATAGGTTCGAGTGGCGAATAAGAAATATTGTTTAGCATATATGAGCCACTGGCTGATTTATACATTTGGAGTTGTGTTTGTACTAACATCAGTATTAATGTGCAGCCAATGCCTTAAATGATGACCAACTTACAAGAGACTTTACAGGAACGTGATATTACAAAATCAGCCGTCAAATCCAAATATTTCTAAATTACTATGCATATATGTACGTACGGAATAATTCAGGAGTATGATTACCCAAGAAAGCAAGTTATTACGCATATGTGTATGGAGTTCGTGGGTGAAATCATAAACCGCAGCGAGTTGAATGCCAACACTTTTTATTGCTGCGATTACATTGTAATGCGAATTTTATTGAATTTCTGCGCACAAGAAAATGACAGCAATGTGACAAACCCTTTCCGTTCGTCGCTTTCCGGTGACAACAGAAGCTTGAAGCGCCAAATTAAGGGAGCAGCGAGTGCGGGAAGTGCAAAGAAAGCAGAAGACAAAAGGAGCCACGGGCATATGTATGCGCAACCGCTTATCATGAGGGAAGTCTGGTGGACGGGTTTCTGCTTCCGATGTGTCGCAATGGCAGACGAGAAGGATTTTTCAATTGTCGAAAGTGTCAGAAATTCCTTATTCAAATTTTCCCAGCGAAGAGCAGCACATTTTGCGTAATTTAATTTAACCAACGCCATTTCAGCGACTTATGCTATGGAAATATGCTGCAATTTTTCCCGTTACATTTTGTTCAAGCCATTTACATGAACTGCGAATTTATCTAAGTTTTATGTAATTTTAAGAAATTGTGTGGCTTTTCTTTTCACCGCTTCTTTACATTACGTCAGTCTAAATTAATTTAGAAAACCAGTCACGTCGCTAAAATGAATTTGGAAGTGAATATGCCGTGCCTTTAGGGTCACGAAGAGGAGTGCAAGGATAAACCTTAAAATTTCTTGCACAGAGTTCTCTTTTACTTTGCTGCATTCTTTTTTGTCTGTCGTTCTACTTTCTTGTATTTTCGATAGCATTTTTTTCTTTGATTTTTATTTTCGATTTCAATTAGTTTGTTTTGTTGTTGTTACGCAACCAGAGGCAATTAAAGCGTAATCAACCGTCCGAACGCAATCAACGCACGCATACAAAAGTATAAATACATATATACATGTACGAGTATGTTTGTATTATTTGTATACGATGGAAATCGCCATTAGTATTAAGATCGTAGATTACAGTTAGCTGTGCTAAACTGGTGTAATCTGGCACAAAACTGCTCGATCGTAAGTTTATATACGAACGAAGCTACATACAAATGCACGCATATTAGATAATTACTCGTAAGTCACGTCTTCACGATTTATGTGCAGGCCATAAAAAGTAAAATCAAGAGTATCGAGAAGAAACATTTCATGACGTTAGGGAATTGAAATTCATCACTTTTTAGTAAATGAAAAATATAGAATGCCCGAATAGGTGTCGGCATTAACAGAATGCTTAGTAACGGTATTCTTCCCTAGATTATACAGCTCTGAGACGAGTTGCTTGAAACTATAATTCTTAATTAATCCACCGAACTATGACCCCCAAGTTAATAAATATTTATTTGGGACGCTTCTACAATTTCCTTGATATCAAAAAAATTTACTCTTGTAATTTCAAGTGGTTTTTAATCAAAGGTGAACCACACTGCTATGTTTTGTTATCGACGTCTGCCCAGAGATCTGTGCTCACTAGTGCGATAAGGTTACTAAGTATGTATAAACTACGCTAAATGTCAGTATGAAATAAAGGCTTCTTGGACATATGTATAGTTTTCGAAAATTCCGTTACTTCTATTCAGAAAATAAGTAAAGATAGCCCACGGCAGTTTACAAGAGAGCAACAAAAACCACAAGGAATCGATTAGAATTAACACAATTAATTTTTTACTACCCCACCTCTAGTTTTCACGCAGATATATTATTTTGAAATGAAATTAATTACGATTTATTAAAATTAAAATTGTCGAGTAATTGTAATAAATGATTTGAGTTGACACTATTTTGTACATACATATTTACATATACTCGTATATGAGCTATTTAACTGATTTTCGGGCATTACTTGGTTATTTCACAGAAATGTGTGTAATTGAACTCACCATTAGCATTGGCAGCCGCATCCTTGCCAGCCGCAGCTGGATTACAATGCAAGATATCCGATAGGGATAGTGACGAAGCTATCAATTGACGTTTCTCCTCAAAATTCAAATAGTCCATGGAGTTGCTGCGCTGTGGCGTAACGGTAATCGTTACAGACTTCTGCATTTTGGCAACTACACACAACTGCTGCTGTGGATCTAACTCATCGACATCCTCCTCAGCAACCACACCACCGCCGCCATCCACCACCAACTGTGAGTTCGGCAAATTTGCCAGATCCTGTGCTTGATAGTGATTTAGAAATTGGAATGGTGAAGCATTAGTTTTATGGCCTTCCAATATGGGCGCGGTCAAGCTGCCCCCACCACCGCTACCGGCCGCGCCGTTGCCAGCTGCGATGGCTGCCGAGTATGAAGGCGGCGACGTCACATTTATGGCTGGCGAGTTGCCCGTGGCCGCCGACAGCTGATAGCCGTTCTCATTGTTAATGGCCGCGACCAGAGTGGCCAAGTTGTTGCGACTGTTGGTGGCGTTGGACTGCTGATGCTGATGCTGATGTTGCTGTGAGACGCTTGGCGGCGATTGTGATAGCTGCTGTTGCTGCTGCTGGAATTTGTGTTGCTGTTGCAACTGTTGCAGCAGCTGCTGCTGATGTTGATGGTGCGGCAGGTATTGCAGCTGTGGCGATTGCGGGGGCGGCGGATACGCCGACTGTGACGAGTTCAACTTATTGCTGCGCATCGACATAGCGGCGGTTATGTTGTTGTCGCCTTACCACTGCTATGTAGATTCTTACCACTTTTGATTTGTTATTATTTTTTTTATTGTTTCAACTTATTGATTGTTGTTGGGGTCATTTATGGGCGTTCGAGAGGCGTAGCAATACCCATAAGTACGCGACTATCAATTTATATTGCACTTTGTGTTTCCTTATTTAATTATTTATGTGCTTTATTTACTTTTCTTTTGATTGCTCATCGAACGCTTTCGTGACACGCGATGGCTGTATTCCTCCCACACGCACTCACACAAGAACACAGTGAAATTTTCTTCCTGTTTTTCAGGGGTGTTATTTATTCACGAAGCACTGAGGGTGAAGGAAGCATTTAGAGAAGCGCATCAACATTTATCGGCTCCTTCATCGCCTTGAGTGCTGTGACACTTTTTAATTGATAGTAAACACATGTAAACACTTTTATGGCCACTTTGCACGATATCTCGATTTATCACTCACTTTATTGATGGCTTCTTCACAGTTACACACGCACTAATTTTCTACTAAAGTCATGACGCTAACTGAGAGAGGGAGAGAAAAGAATGTTATTTTTATTTTGTGTTGATTACTCTAAATTTTCGTATAACTTTGTCAAATTTGGATTGAACTCACATATTAATATTAACTAAATTTGGGGTCTGAGACATAAAGAAAATGAGATTACATTAGCCACAGCAACGTGTAGACGGGGTCACTAGTAAAATAGATAAAGCAAATTTAATGGAAACAATATTAACCAAAGAATGTAATTATTTAAAGAGTGCATAGAACATTTTTTCTTGAATATAATGGCCGCTTCTTTCTCTTCCTTCATGGCAATACTTAATTGCCGTTTTCTAGTAGGAGCTTCAATAAACTCATTTGACATTTGCTGATTCCTATGTCTTTCAAGTGTCATCATACAAAGCGCTTTCAATTTAAAAAAAATTAACTGAAATCTCTTGATGCGTCCTTCAACGCGCCATTGCCAGGAAATTTCACAACGAAAACAAAACAACCCCTAATGATTAATGCTCATACCATAAAAACTACCTCTATGCGTCCACAGTTCTTCTTTTAATCAACGTGTTTAGCGGGCAAAGTATGTGCGTATGTACAAATGTATGCATGTATGCGCACTCAAGACATGTATTCACTTTGTTGGCTGTTTCATTTGCGGTGGCATTTAAAAAAATCAGTTTCGGGAATGAGAAAAAATATTAAAAATATGTGACGTACAAGAGCTGCCCTTGAGGGGAAAAGCCTAATCATCTTGAACAATAGAATTGACACTTCTAAAGAAGTGACACGGATTGCATTTAACCTTGCGTATACGAGGTGAGTAATCCACCTGCTGTACTAGTTGGGGTTTGCTATAATCCAGTTAGAAAAGGTAGTAAAAGTCGAAAAATTGTTTTTATGATTGTTTAATAATAATAAATATATCTATATACATAATATATAATAATAATGAAGAATGAATTGGTTTACTTAAAAAAATAATAATAATAAATAAACGAAAATAGGATTTTATTGATAAAAGTACAAAAACTTAACGTTAAATTGTAACGATTTTTTTTACCGCTGGGGTATGTCAGACCCCACCTTGTATACGGAAGGTTAACAACGTAGAAATATGGATTGTTTTTAAATCTTCAAAGACTCTATATTATTTTACCTATATAAAAATAATAAAACGTTTAAGATTAAGATTTAGATTTTACGAGTAGACACACATTTCTTGAGGACATCAATATTTTTTGTCTTGTTGCCATAAAATTTCGCGCCACTGTAATAGCAGAAGGAGATAGTTAAAGATATAGATTTATTTTATGGAGCTGATTTTCTATGCACATGAGCATATTATTTTGCAGAGAATCTGCAAACTGGGACGAATAGAAAATTTAAGATTAATCGTCCCGGATTCAGATCAAGTAGCAACATTATTTGAAGGAACCCTGTAAACAAACAGCCAGACCATGTGAAAGTCAAAGGTTACAAACGCAGAAAATGGCCACAGACCCAATTTATACACATACATAGATAAATGTGTAGACTATTCCAAAAGTTAACGGGCGCCTTTCGGTAATTTTAAAAATGATTTGAGCGTCTAAAGTATGTAGCTTTATTGGTTCATGCCTACAAAGTAGTCGCAATCAACTGCCCAGCATGCAAAGGCATCGGATGTGGTAATTCAATGAATAAAAGTTTATGGTCATGAATTGGATTTGATGACGCGCCTACGCACTGGAATCTTGGTAATTACGGTGCTGTGCTGATACGCAACTAAAGAGGAAAATATCATAAAATATAGATAAGAGCTATGGCATTGTGGCAAAAAGGATTTCAGAATTTGTTATTGGCCAAAAATCCAATCGTAAAGTAGGAACGTTCTCTTATAGGAACTTAAAAGAGCAACTTTAATTAATTATTTCAATAATTAATATTTCTTGTCTAAACCAGAAATGTAATAAAAATCATGAGAGCAATTTTATATATTTCACACTGGAAAAATGCAAAGTTTGTCTGCTGATCGCAAATTAATATACAGAACAACACTATTTGAATATTCCATATTCTCTTTCGAAATTAATACCAAAAACGAAATTCAATTTATCGGCAATTAAAAAACGCGGCAAAGTGTAGTTGTACATACATATGTACCTATGTACTATTTATAAGTGCATACATTGCAACGAATGGCTTAAAAATCAAAGTACCGTATTTAAGTACAAAAACGTCGAGTAGAAGAGTTGATACCCATAAAAAGGGAGAAAGAGGTTAATAATTGAGAGAACTCGCGCTTAAGGGCTACGGCACACTTAAATCGGTCACGGCACAAATCAGTCAGACAACAACGAACGTACATACAGAAATGCACGTGTGTGATAGTAATTAAGTAAAAGCGCAAAAGTAGCATCGAAACAAATAGAGCAAAAGCAGTAAAAACATCAAAGAAAGTCAAGCATAGTACAAAAGAGCACAACGACTGCTCTTTTACAGTAATGTGACACTTTTCCAGACACACAGAGTTCTACATAACTCATGAATTGTTTGTATCAATTGATTACCATTACACATGATTATCATTAGTAAGGCGTCACTTTCTTCACTGAGGAACGATTCTTTGGAATCCGACCTGATATAAACATAGGTATTTCGCGGCAGGAAGTTACCTAAGAGGTGTTCTTGTTTTGGATGACTTTCTTATAATCCCCACATTCGCGATTAGCGGAGTCATATCCATAAAATTATTAAAAATAACTTTCAAATCGCCCCGCAGCGCGCTTGAGCTCATACAAAGCTTATGGCTGCGCGGAACACTTCAACAGCCAGCCAGTCAAGCAGCGAAAAAACCAACTGCTGTCAACTACTGACACACTAAAATTACTAAGCATTGCAAAAACGCAGCGCAGACAACAGCTGACTGGCAAGTAGACAGACGCGGCACGTAATTGTATCGCGTACCTAAGTACAGAACAAAAATAAACTGTATCTGCAAGCAAAACAAAGTGCGAATGCGAAAAATGGAAAAATAAAATTAGAAAAAAATTCGCACAAGAACAACAGTGGCACGAAATAAGCGCAGAAAGAAAATAAAACCACAAAACCGCACAGCTAAAGGCAAGCAGCAAGCCAAGAGGTGCTCGAAAAGAGCAGCAAAAGCAACCAAGCAATATTGTGAACTAGTAGCCATAGATGTTGAAGTGCGGTGGCGATGGCCCAGCGGTACTTGGAAGAAAATTGTAGTTCAATGAACTCACGGTTCCATAGTTTACCGACTTTTAAACACCCCAACTGTGAGTGCTCTACTTATTATTATCGTTATTATAATCTACTGTTGTTGTTGCTGTTTATGCTTTTACTTTGCTTTCGACGAGTTTCCATTAACCGCTTGAATACCTTTCGCATGGCTGTGTCGTGTTTACAGTAACGTCATTCAGAAAATGCAACGCAGATTTGCACTAATTCTGAGCAGTTCTTGTAGTGTTTTTTCTTTTTTTTAGTTATAAGAAAAGTTCCAGGTTCCGCACGCATACCAGCAATGGTGTAGTTCATTTAAAGACGACACATCACTTTGCCTTTTAACGACTCCACGGCCATCAAGCGACCAAAAATAGTTTTAAAAAAATGCACATTTTATTTAATTTGTGAAAAATTTGTCAAAAAGAAGTAGAAAATCACATGGTGACATTTGATTAGTGTCGTATGTCATAAGCCGACTCGAGTTGTGTGTGGGAGTGTCTACACTTCGGCAATGAGCAAGTTGGTAGGCGTAATGATCACTAATGCGATTTGGCGAAACTCAAGAATTTCGCCTTGCACATTCGCACTTTACAACACATACACCTATAGGTACATATATGTATGAATAGCTGTATATTGGATTACAAAATCTACCATGGCGCAATAAGAAAAAAATATTGCTAATAATATGCCATTTCTTTGTACATTTGGATAATATATTTTTAATTCTTCTGAAATCGTAAATCATCATCTGCGTTTTATAAGAATTTCGATGTTTATTTAAGGCCTGCTTCGAGGCATGACGCACCGACATTGCGGCAAACCAAAAAAAATCACGAGTTTCATATAAAAAATACTAACTGTTTATAACTAATTATTAGTGTTTTTAGGCTTTACTCACTACTGATATACTCGCACTTGTAATGACTGATTTAATATCAATAATACAAGTAAAACTCTCTGTAGATTTCTATTCACATCATCAGCAAGGCGATCTTCGTAAAATTTATATTCATTTAAGTAAGAAGTTAAAACAGGTTAAATGGAAGTCATGACGGCAGTACGTGCAGACAATGGTGTGATATTTTTGAACTTTACGAGAATGTTTTTGAGAACGCCCATCGGTTAGCCATTGCCTGCCTAAGTGTGAGCTCTTCATAAAAGTGGTTTTGATATTGATCGAAATTTGACATTTCACTAAGAATAGAAGCAGTTATACCGTAGTAATGCGAGGGCTGATATTATGGATCTGGGTTCAATTTAAAAAGAACCAAGAAAGAAAATACACCTAATTCTTATTTGAAACCAACCCCAATATTTAACCCTACAGAAGGCTTCTCTTTAGAGTAAAACTTATTAGTTTAGACATTTCAATATATTTAAATAAAAATTTTGTGAAATCGAAAAATAAAAAAGTAAGATAAACAAAAATACTTTAGAGCAGACAATAAAAATCAGCATTGTCATATGGAAGTTATTGCGAATCGTTTGAAACACCACAATCACATCTCACATGAGCTGTCCGTAAAGAATTTCCAGCACTGCAACACACACCGGAACATGTCTATGAGACCAGGGTACAAAGTACAAACACAAAATCATAATAAACTTAAATAAGTCTGAGGAATTTTCAAAATTGATATTTCAACATTCGTTTGTGTGGCATGCCACATGTCGTAAATATGCGAGCTTGTGCAACAAAAACATATGTATGTATAGCGAAGACAACAAAGGCAACGACAACGACAACGACCTAACGTATCAATGAGAAAATACTGGAATGGTGAACGCATAAAATATGCAGCGACGGAGGCAAAAGGTAGAAGGACGCGCATAGAATAGCAATGTCCACAGAAAAGACGTACGACGAGTCGCGCCACGAAGAACGACAGACGATGTGCAGCAGATGGAGCTGGCGCTGATGGGGATGTGGACAACGCGATGACATGCCCAAACACAAAACGGGCTGCAAACACAAGCATTACGGGCATTGGTTGGAGGGCAAATTTTTGATAAAAGAAAAAATATTCGCTTTGCACTCAAGCTGCTACATACACATATCGAGCTTGCGTTATGGAGTGGGAGTGGCATTGAAGCAATGTTTCGAAGTACAATGACACAGACGCAACAAAACAACAACAACACTAATAAAAAATTAAATACAATTGCAACGCATTCCACTGCGAATACATATAAGTAAAATTGTACGTATGAATGTGTGCGAGCAGCAAGTAAATTGTAGTTGCGAATGGCGAAAGCCAGCATGTGGACCCACGCTTCTGCGTGCAGCTGTGCGACTTGCAGTGGTTCGATATTCCACGCCAAGTTTGCATCCCCCAGCATCAGCAGAGCTAAGCTGTGAAGAAATGTTGTACATAAACACAATAGTTGGGGATATTTTAATAATAAATTTTTCAATTGCACGTCGCCCGCGCCAAGGGTTGCCGTCGGACTGGATTGGAGTTTACTTTGAAGGAGACGGCCGAAACGGGGGTTAGTCGGCGATACAGTTGTTTATGTATGGATTTGTGTGGCTTTATTGTCTAGACTTGAGAAGTGAAATGTGGAATAGTAAGTATAAAGAGCAAAAAGTCAATAGTAGCAAAATATCAAATTAAAACTTCAACGAATTTAAACATAGTTGCCAGATAACAAAAAGCGTTATTTTATGCAATGGAAAGTCCACGCATTTATTTTTACTACTGCAACTATTTATATTATATAATTGTAGAACAACAAATAACAAATTTTGAAAATATTATGTATACCATTTTGAAAAAATCATATACATAAGTATAAAATATACACATTACGACGTATGCACTACATGGTATACATATGTATACTTATTGCTATATGCATAGTTAAATTTATACACATATTGCTATAAAGTTTCTTAACATGTGTTATCAGCAGTGAGATAAGAAAAGCAGGTATAAAGATAAGTAAGTAAACAAGATAAGATTGGACGCGGAAAAACTACACATTTTGCGCTTTAGTTAGCCGTTAACAATTCTTAGTTTTTCAATTTTATGTTTGCTAATTTTTTAAATATATATATAGAACTCTAGGGGAAACTTGTTATAGTAGTGACATAATACAGAATCGAATAACCAACAAAATGCTCAAATGCTTTGAGAATAAATTTTATAGAAATTAATGTGTGCATATAGTGACACCATCGTTTTGTTTCGCATCTCACAATCTAATAATTTAACGAGCCAACAACCCTGTATGGATTTAAACTCTTTGGTAGGCAATTTGAAATACATAACAAACTTAATATACAATTTTAGTATATCTTGGTTTTAATTGAAATGCCTTGACGGTTATTCGTGTTTCAAAAAAATTATTTTCACTTTTATTTCTCATTTTATTCTATCGACAGACAGCTGTCTAAATCAAGAGTCTTATTATCAGACAGGTAGGTACACAACAACCTGCTAATAGAAAATTAAGTATGCAAAATTTGGAGTTCACGTGTTTTTTAGTTCTTATGGTTTTAATATGCTCTAGCTATATTCAAATTTTACGCGTGGTTCAATGTATTCGCCGGTTTGTTGAATACACTTTTTGTCCAGACGGCAAAACAAAAATATTAAAAATGCAGACATAAGCGCCATTGAATGCACAACACGGCGGCGCGAAGGAATAAAAAAACGCAATGGCGGCGAATGGAAATTACTACACAACACTGCAACAACTGAACAAACACACTTTACTAATGATACACAATTACAACAATATTTGTTTCTCCACTTGCACTTCTGCTTATCGGAGTTTTGCTTTCCTACAATTCACTGGGTGTATGTATTTGTTATTTATTTTCTGCTTTTCCATTCACTTTTCGGTTTAGGGCCAGAAAGGCAATAACGACAAGTCCAGCAGGCAGACAGTCAGTTGAACTGTCCGTCCAGCTGTGTGACCACCCGTTTGTTAACAGCATTTCGTTTGCTTGGGCTAGCTGGCTGAAGTGGTCGAACCGGTTTTATGCTTTTTGCACTTCACACTTGTATTCGTATAGAATTGTAGTGGTATTAACGATAAAGTGGTGGAAACAACGAATATGAAATTAATGAAAAGGTGTATACACAAATGAATTCCAGACTTATTAGCAATATTACATTTTTGCAACTATTAACCCTTAATAATGCAATATTTCGTCTTTTAGAGCTCACTTTTAACAAAATAATAATTAATGTCGAGGTAAATGCAATTAACTTGTTTCATAATTTGATTTGTTGGCTGGGTAATTCCAGCAGATGCATATACATTTGAACACATGTATTTGAGTAAGTGTGCGTATGCTTTGTTTCATGTTCGCCAAGTTGCCACTCACACTTTAAAACAAAATTAGCAACTATCATACTTTTTATTCTCACTTTTGCGCTTTTTTCTTTTTCATTTCCTCTTTCGTTTGCAAATTTTATAAATAATCTATTTTAAACCTTTTGTTGATCATTTGTTTTGCTTTTGTAAAAACAAAACACGTAATTTTCGGAAGCATACACATTTTTGTACACTCAATATGTCGAATTTAATAATTTTCGGATATATTACACCAACACTCCCATCCAGAAGCCATTGATGTATAGCGCCACGGGCACATACCTTCTTATTTAACTTATTGTTTATCGCAATTAAAAGTCCTATCACACAAACTATTAAAATAACTCGATAGACAAAACAACAACCGGCAAATTGTCTACTTCATTGTACTTTCCGCCCGAATATCAAAATGTATAACAAAAATCGCGCAATATTCTCACACAATATTCATACACGACGATTCAAAATCAACTAAACATTTTTGTTGTTCTTCATCAGTGCAAAAGAAAAATGCCTAGTGCAACCGTGCGTTGTGGAATGTAGGCAGCATTGCCAGCCATCAAAATTTATGTGCGACTCCTCTGTCGCATGCGAGAAATCACAGTGCCAGTCAAAGTGTGATTAGTTTTTAGTTTGGAGGAGCTGTTGAACACAGGGTGTTAAATTTAATTTTATTTGAATTATTAGCTTGTAACAAATCTTATTTTAAGTGTTATGTTTCATTACTATTTTAACTATGTCTTATAATAATGAATAAAAGAAAAATACTGCATAAAAATATACAATAAATGCACAATACGTATGCCACCTGCGAAAGAAAGTCGTAATTGTAGTACGCAAATACACTTAGAACCATCCCGGTACCAGAAGACTTAGAAGAAGTCTTCTACTATTCTATACTCTCTTACTATAGATTATCCATGTAATTTAACAAATTTTCATTGGTATAAAATGATTGTGTTTCTTTAGCAAAGTCAAAAGTCAAATACGTAAAAATAAATGTATTTTGATTTGAACTCTAATCCTTTGCATTAATATATGTACAATATATACATGTGTAAATATATATGGGCGAAATATAGTATATCAAGCTAATATACACACGTATTGCACTGTGCTATGCATAATACTCCTAACCCCACCTACTCTAAGTTAAAGTGTACTTTAGAATACGCTCGAAACTGAAAATATTAACACAAACCGACTAAGTTGGTGGTAATACGCTTATTGGTTTCAAAAAATATTTTTAGCATTAGGCCACATTACGTTCAGAAAAAGATACACAATTCATTAGATTTAATTTCTTTAGATATCTTAATATGACTGACATTTTCGCTGTAAAGTCATATTTAGGCCCTTAGGCTATAATATTCGGTAATTGGGGTCTTGGAAGCGACCCATCCTGCGATCAATGACTCTTTCGTTTACCTTTAGCAAAGTCAATAGGCTTGCCTTTTTGTTTATCTTTAACGAGGTCAACAACCCATTCTGAAGTCATTGACCTTCAGCGAGGTATTCGGGTTGTTGCACTCGCTAAGAGCCATTGGCGATATGCGAATAACCCAAGAGGCCACGACGCCGGACTTTCGTTATTTAAAAAAACTGAAAGTTTTTCTTATGCTATTTTATACACCTTTACTACCAATTATCTGCCGAAATAACCACAACCCAAACTCTATAGTCGCTGATTGTTCTTAACTGTATAGGGGACGTGCACAGAAAAGCTTTGACTTTTAAAAAGAATGGAAGTCTGGTCGTTGTGGGCTCCAGCTCTGTTCAGCTCTATAATTTGGTACATATTTTAGTTCAAAGATAGTCCGAGTGAGGTTAATTTTAAAAAGATGCTGAGCTTCAGAACTAAACAAAAGACATAGTAGGAAAACTTATAATGCTGTAATTTGTTTGAAAATAAAATTAAAATTGTAACTCATTAGAATCGAAAAAAAAATTTTGCTACTCATATTACAAAACTGAAGAGGAAGACATTTTTGAGAAGATTGCCATATTATTAAATGGTGAGTAAAATAGCTCCCGCATGCATATAAAATTCGCCTTCAATCACGACAGTAGAAACCTTGACCTGCCCGTATTTACGCCGTCATATGCGTATACTCCTAATGCGCTAAATTTATCAGTTTAAATGTCATATTTAGCTGTCACAATTACATGTCACTTTTAACACGCTGATTAGGATCAACAACAGACTCAAGGCAATCAGAAAATAACTGAATGCAAAAGCTGACTGTTGCATGCCGTACGACCGTTATGTACAAAGATGCAAACAAATATAAAAATTTATCATATATTAGAAAAAGTGATTGGTAATTTAAGGTTTTGAAGTTTTCAATATTTTACTTATTTTTACTAAAGTTTTCAGGACCCATGACAATAGCGATCTGCTCGGAAGACAGACCTTAAAGGAAGCGCATGGTAATCAGTAAACGAAGGCGAAGTGATTTGCTTAACTTAACCTAAAAGTTTTGCTCTCTATTATTAAAAAATCTTCCAATTTTCAAAATTGAGTGAAATTGAGAAAATCTGCTGATACAAAGTCGCTTTGTTCATATTTAGAATATTTACTTTCACTTGCAAAGGCTTGCAAATTTGTGACTGACAATAATATACCTGTTAATAATAATTATGTTTCACAAATGCGTATGTGTGTGTAAGCAAAAAGTGGAAATAGTTTTTGTGGTACTTGACGCCTCATAATCGCTTTTGTAGCAAATAATAGTAGTAACATAACCGCAGACCCCCAACCACTTGGCGTTGAACTTGTGAAACACCTGTCTGGCCTTCGCCCTCAATGGCCACTTAGACTTAACTGTGCGCCAATTATTTATGTAAGATAAAGTGTGTGCAGCAAAGTCATGAATGCATGTGTATGTGTACGCACGGTGTGTGTGTCGGGAATGGGGGTAGTAAACAACAGAATATTGCAAATAATTCCTTACAACTGAAATCCTTTCACGCCTTTCGCCACTTTAATTGCCACTTACACAAATTGTTGGTTAATTTGGAATCATAAAAGCCGCATGTGGCGGACACAAACGCATTTATAAAAACACACCAGGCAATATGCAAGCACGAACATGCCCGGTAGGAAATGCCAAACGTAAGTTCCAAAAGGTCGGTGAGAAATTTAACAGTGATTTTCCGTTATAAAGCCATTTTCGTTTTCCAAGTAATACACCAACAAAATACACGAAGAATGATAAGTGAAAGACAACAGTTTTGAAAACTTCGCAGCAGGACACTTGAACAGCGATTGCAATAAAACAAACTAACTCCACCAATTCTCTGTGGTCTCGCTACTCATAGAGCGAAAACGACAAAACAGAAAGTACAGTTGTGGTTGACATTGTACGATAGTTGTTGTTGTTAAAGTTGCAAACGCTTAGTGCCCTTTTAAATAGCTGGCTTTTGGAGCTTTTTATCGTTTACAATTATTCCAATGCAGCAGGCAATATTTCGTTGGGCATGGTGGCTGCTTGGTAACTGTGTTGGTGAAAATGTGTTTTGGGAAAATGACGGAAGCACACATGCACACACGCATTCATGAACACACTCCCATTCACAAACATAATTGCATCTACATAACATACATACAAGTACATATGTACATGATTGGTGAGGAAAAACGGCGACATTAGCAGCAGGAACCACTTGTCGTGAACCTTACATGCATGCATATGCCAACAACAACAATAACAACAACAACGACAATTATGAAAACTTTGAAGTGAAAATGCCAGCGCCAAAACAAAAGTGTCGGGCAATTTTCGTAATAAATTTATGTCGCTACATTGTCGGCGACATTCGCTATTGCATCGTTTCGTGAACGCTTGTAACGAAAGTATGGCGGGACACATAAGTGCTGCAGCCACTATTTGTGCACTCGTAAAGTGTATATGTAAGTACAGATGTATGTGTATAAGAGATACGGCACAGTACATATTTGGACTCACGGTGTAGAGTTTCTATGGTAGATATGGAAGTAATTCAGTTTCAGATTCTGGAGACTCTAAGTGTAAAAAATAATTTTAATGAAATTTTACTCAAATTCTTTATAGAATTTTTATTTTATTTTTAAAAATGCTTGTATATTTTTGCATTTTTTTTCTCCGCCCCAAAATGTAGGCAATCTTTAAGACACTTTTGTAATACTCGTATAATTAATGTGCACCACCTACTTGGCTTTGATTTTAAATCCCAATCAATATGCACAGCTACCTCAAGCCTATGAAAGTTCCTCTTTAAGAAATTATAAAAATACGTTCGAAGCAGGATTGAAACTAAAATTAAACTGAATTTGATGAATAAGTATTTTGCAAGAATAAAGTCAATATTTTATATAAGATCAATAAACATATTCAAAAAGTTATCAATTAAAAATACCAGTTCAAAATAAAAACTTTTAAAAAAATATTCAACGCAAATATCTTTTACCAACTCTTTTTTAAAAGCGTATTTTTGCACAGACAAAATATTACTTAAGGCAGACGCGTAAATATATCTGACACCCTATTATTTTTATGAAAACAAGCTAAATTTAAGAATGTTTCCTTTTCCCATTTACGCCGCTTGAATTTTTCACGCTTGAATATTTAGTATGCGTAACGGCATTCGGCCGAATCTAAACTGAGACAATTTGAATTGCAATAAAATCAGTCTACTGCCAATGAAGTTTTTTAGTAACCTCACAGCACTCAGACACCTACACACACACAAATGCAGATGACTATGATGACACTCAGGATCTACGACGTGTTTAGGCCAAGAGAGTCCAACTTTTTATTTTAGTATAATTGTTGAAATAGTACTTTACCCACACATAGACCTCTGCGCTCAATCACAAATATATGCACGAATATTGGCAAAAGCGAATAAGCCGATAGCCGTTTTATATTTAAGCCCCAACGTCAGCGAGCTAGTCATCAGTTAAATTTTGCTCCACAACAGTAAAACAATTACCAAACTACCAAACAATCAAAATGTTCAAATACGTAAGTATTAATCGTTATTTGTTTATTATAATTTTGATTTGTAATAATAAATTAATTCTTCCTTGCAGTTCGCTCTCGTCTTCGTCGCCCTCTTCGCCTTCGCCGCTGCCGAGCCTAAGCCCGCTGTCGTAGCAGCGCCTTTCGCCTACTCAGCTCCTCTGATCGCCTCTCCCTACTCCGCTGCCTATGCTGCCCCATATGCCGCTTACGCTGCCGCTCCCTATGCCGCCTACGCTTCACCTTACGCTTCACCCTACGCCGCCTACTCCGCTTACCCATACAACGCCGCCTATGTGCTCCGCAAGTAAATGGAATGTAGCGGTTGAACTGTGATAACACCAAATTCGATTTGATTGGCAATAAAAAGGACAACGTTTTTCATAAAAAACTAATGATAAATAAAAAACTTTAAACGAAAATCAGACTCAAGTATTTTTAAATTTACTAAATAGAAATAAGAAGAACTCGTCGAAACGTGGAGAATGACGATTGAAAATACTCGTTTTTTTTCACTTGCCTTACCAAGGGAGCTCGAGCTCAAACATAGCAATTGAAGGTGATTATTGGTATTAGGTCAGGAGTCATCGATTTGCTACTCATTTTTGTATATTGCCAAAATTTTCTTCAATAAGTAGTAATCTTTCATTATTCTTCTTCTGCAGCTTCACTGTTGAATATACATAGTCCCAAACTCGGTACCTGACAATTTTGGGCATAACAAATAAGCTGTGATCTAGAGCTTATTTATGATTTTGCTTACACAACTAGCAACTAAAACTCGTTCGAAATCAGTCCTTTGTTCCATGTATGATGCCGAAATTGTCTTGCCAAGGTTCCCACCGCTTTTATTTTAACGACATTTCACACCCCCATTAGAAGGAACAAAACCAACACGTTGAAACTATCGCTAGATTCTCAACATAGCTGATGCAGGTTTTAAAATTGTTTCAATATAATTTGAAAAATTAAAAATAACGGCGTATGTATAATTATCAAAAATAAAAACATAAGTGTTCAGTGAAACTGTTTATCACATTGAAATTGTTCGTGTAGCATGTGTCAACAGCAGGCCCAAGCACCGAGTAAAACTGCGGTTAACACACTGCCACTTACACGTAACGGGTAACCAAACCAAATATTCGCTGGCAACAACTGCTGACAGCTACAAATCAACTCGCACGCTGAAGTGACCATGAAAATGTTGTTGACAGCCGAGTTGCAGCACTGAACGCTGAAGGACTGCCAGCGACTCTACTGACGCACAAATACTACTCAAGTGTACGCATGTATGCGTGCGTTTCTCGAATGCCCGGCAAGAATGTGGAGGACTTCTAAAGCACCAGTATTTCTTAAATTTGAAATTGAAGTGAGGACCATGCTTTGCAGATGATATATTCAGACCAATAAATTGCTTAGGACATTTCAAGCAATTCGTTTCATCTCAACTGTTTTGTTTCATCTTTTAAGCGTTTCTGTTAGTGCACATGTCTGCGAACTTACTATGCATTCCAAATCCCTAACGTCACTACCTCCTATTATCGAAATCCCTTCGGAACTTTCAAATCAGTTAAGGAATGTACGAAATAACAAACACAAAATAAATTCTGTTCAAACTTTGGTTTTATTTTTTTGCTATTGTGGGATCAGTAAAATTGTATCCTTTTCATTGTCAATAAAATATAAAATCCGCTACATTCCGTTTACTTGCGGAGCACATAGGCGCCGCTGTATGGGTAAGCGGAGTAGGCGGCGTAGGGTGAAGCGTAAGGTGAAGCGTAGGCGGCATAGGGAGCGGCGGCGTAAGCGGCATATGGGGCAGCATAGGCAGCGGTGTAGGGAGAGGAGACCAGAGGAGCTGAGTAGGCGAATGGCGCTGCTACCAGAGCGGGTTTAGGCTCGGCAGCGGTGCAGGCGAAGAGAGCGACGAAAACGAGAGCGAACTGCAAAGAAGAATTCATTTTTATTAAAAACCAAATTTATAATAAACCAATAACGGTTAATACTTACGTATTTGAACATTTTGATTGTTTAGTAGTTGTTTTACTGTTGTGAAGAAAAATTTAACTGATGTCAAATTCGTTGGTTGTCCGTCTTTATATACGAATACAATTAGTTTTTATTGCGATTTTATTGGCGAAGAAGTTTTCGAATTTTTGGTTGTGAGTTTTTTTGTTTTCATTTCGACAATTTTTGGCTAAGCACGTAGAAGGCCGCAAATTTACCATTTATATTAAAATAATCGCTTATTATGTGTATTTATATACATATATAGTTATATATACTCGTACATATAAATGCATATATATAATATAAATGCATGCTCCTTTGTTAGAGTACTTTTAGGAAGAAATAATTGATATGCACTGCTACAATTTTTTTATATATTTTCTGGGCATTTTAATAGTCATAGATCATAAACACTTATTTAATAAGAAGTCTTGATCGTTTCAGGGATATAGAATGGGGGTGAGCATAGAATTTCCTCAGTCGCTGCTATTGATCTCGTACCTTAAATTGGTTTTATTCACTGCTGCCCGACTGTTGTTAAGGTGACTCTCGATGTTCAAGCTACGGTACCGGTTGTACCCATCCTAGGATTTCACGGACATAAACTGCTTCAATATTAACGCTTTCGTGGTTTTAAGCATTTAAGCATCCATATTTTTCTTCAACCGTAGCTTTATGTCTTGCATTTATCTATTTTTAAGCCCACAGCTCATGAGATAAAAAGCTTACATCTGGTACGTTGCAGTAGGTCTATATTATAAATATGTAAGTATTGTATAGTGAAGATTGTAAGAAGCTTGGTACACATATTCTTCTTATATGAATATGAGAACATAATGGCAATGGTCTCTGGTAAAGGAAAGAAATACTTACATCAAACGACTTGCTAACACGGCAGTGGTCGCTGCCAACTTTTGGCAGTCGTGTCATCAACAGCGATTCATTAAGAATGCAAGAAGTGTTACAATGCTTAAAGGCAGTGGCTAACATTGGCAAGGCGCAACATCAACTGTGTTGCTGCTACTCTTTGAGGGATTTCGATTTGGTTTACTCTATCTGCTTTAGGCAAAGCCTCATGGCCGCATTTTTCAGAAAAATAATTTGCCGTTCGAAAGCTAGAAATTAGTAGAAGTAAATAATATCGGTACTAGCGGACTACTATGTATTTCTAAAATCTTTAGAACAATCATCTTTGAAAAAGTTGTAAAAGAAAGACTGTCAAACTTCATCGAAGACAATGAAGATCTTCCACCAGTACAATTCGGCTTCCGCCGTGAACATAATACCTTGCACCCATTGCTTAGAATAAAAAGACTCATCACAACAAATTTTACAAACTCCAACTCCATGGGTATGATCTTACTGGATATCAAAGCTGCATTCGATTTTGTTTCGCACAATGGGCCCTTGTACAAAATGAAACTTTTCAAATTTCCCCTAGTTTATATAAAAATTATACATAGTTTTTTGACTAACCGAGCATTTACAGTCCACCCGGTTCAGGCACAGTCTTACAAAATTGACATCCATACGGGTTATCCACAAGGCTCGTGCATATCTCAATTGTTGTATAATATTTTTACTTCCGATTTCTCGGCGGACGACACCGCAATACTCTGCTCGGGCTCGATCGCAGCTGATATCACAAATTCACTTTAAGGGGACTTCAATACGCTTATCTCTATCTTTAACAAATGGAAAGTCCTGGTTAATACTGACAAAACTCTAGCAATTTTCTTCACTAGGAAACGTTAAAGCATCTTCCTCCCAACAAGCCATATTTCATTCAACTCTATCGACATCAACTGGAAAAATAGTGTTAGATATTTAGGACTACAAGACGCTACACTAACCATTAAAGATCACGTCACGAAAAACTATCATGCTAATACGTTATTCCCATTTATAAACAGAAGATCAGAACATAGCATAGCTAACAAAATATATCTATTCTGTTTATTTTCCAGGCGGTGGTATTTTATAGGGTGCCCGTGTGGGTCGATGTCGCGAACTCCCACATCCACAAACTTTATTTATTTTACCTATTAAAGATAATTTTCCAACTTCCATGACATTTTTCCAGATCGGAGTTACATGATAGAGCTAATGTTGAATGAACTGCAGTTAGATTGACTCGAATAAATACTTGAAAGAGGTTTAACGATCGTTGTGAGCATAACGGCTGTAAAATATAAGCTGAGATATAAATTAGAAATAAGTAGGTTAAGCCACTATTTTTCAAGGGTTTTTTTGAACATTTGTCCGCTACTATAACTATGTTGTTAATAGTACCATATCATAACTCAACGTCATTTTTAAGCAGAAAATACATTATCACCTGTACTCTTAACTTATATACATTAGCCACTGTAAATACATATATTATAAGATGAAGTGAAATAAATTTCAATCCGATAATAATAAACTAGCCACTATTAATACAATATAGAAACAAAATATTTCGTTTTTAATATAAGTGTTTTATTTTTGCTTGTTTGGAAAATTTTTCATTCTTTCTTGTGTTTTTAATTCATTGCCAATCAAATCCAATTCGGTGTTGTCACAGGTCAATCGCTACATTCCGTTTACTTGCGGAGCACATAGGCGCCGCTGTATGGGTAAGCGGAGTAGGCGGCGTAGGGTGAAGCGTAGGCGGCATAGGGAGCGGCAGCGTAAGCGGCATATGGGGCAGCATAGGCAGCGGTGTAGGGAGAGGAGACCAGAGGAGCTGAGTAGGCGAATGGCGCTGCTACGACAGCGGGCTTAGGCTCAGCAGCGGCGAAAGCGAAGAGGGCAACGAAAACGAAAACGAACTGCAAGGAAGAATTCATTCTTATTACAAACCAAATGTATAATAAACAAATAACGGTTAATACTTACGTATTTGAACATTTTGATTTTTGGTAGTTGTTTTACTGTTGTAGAGCAAAATTTAACTGATAAAAAATTCGCTCAATGCTCGCATTTAAATACAATTCTTCAAGTAAGTCAATTTGTTGGCGACTTGGCGAACTTTTATTTTTTCTTTATTTTCTGTGCAACGAATATTTAATCGTTTTGTACTAAATACTTGAAGGCCTTAAATTAGCACCTTGTATTAAAATACTAGTCCACCCAAGCGTGATTGTATGTGTTTGTAAGAGGGAAAAGAGTACTTCGTATTTGCGTTTGCTTTTATGGGAAGAAAAGACATGTTCAGAATACATAAGCGTATGTGAAACTTAGCTGATAGAAACAATATTTTTTGCATTTTAGGCTCGTTTACTACAAGTATGATTCAATATTTGGACATTCATCTTATGAAAAAATCTGTCCAATGACCTCTCGTATTATTCACCAACTGAAAGAGAATTTACAACTTACTTCGCTCAAGCAAGTTATGAATGAAAAGTTTGTAGATAAAAACAAGAAAAAACGTTAACATCGGTTACATTGGAGCTATAACAGCCTTCACAGATGCATTTCTTATGGCATAAATCAGCTATATGCTATAGTGGTCCAATCTGAATAATTTGTACGAATATTGTGGCCATACAAGGACTTGAATTTGATCAATCATTTTGTCTGGTAACTAAATCCTGAAGTAGTCCGATATCGACGGTATGGCCTAATGAGCAGCTTCTTGGGAACATGTGCAAAATTTCAGATCAATGTTTCAAAAACTGAGGGACTAGTTCGCGTATATACCAAGGGGCTGACAGACGTGCGTCTATCTAAATCGACTTTGCTCGTCATGCTGTTCATTTATATATATATTTTACGGGGTCTCCGACGTCTCCTTCTGCATGTTCATCGTGAAAAACTAGTATATATATATATATATAACCTGTTCAAGGTATAGTGAGAGAAAAGTCTAACCTCAATTGCTTGATGGAAGGAGCTCTAATGAGTAGGGATTGAGTAAATATAGGCAGCGATATTTTTTATTTTCGACAACTCTTAATCTATTAGGCAAGGCATATAAGAATTTATGTTAGCCTGGGTAAGTTCATAAATGGATTTTTTTGGCTAAATTGCCTGTATTAACTACTGATTTTACTGTTTTTCCACATCAGATGCTACTTTTCTTCTTGTAGTTTTAATTCAGTTATCATGAAAGGTATATACTCGACGGATCATATTTGATTTCCATAATCAGCAACAGAAATTCATCTCTTTTTAAATGGAGCAGATATTTACACTCAGAGCAGAGAGTGTGTCGTCCCGTTGGCATGAAAGTGCGTGTGTAAGAATTTGCAGATATTTTAAAATGTTTATTTAAACAAGAGCAGCGGATCCGTACGATACTCAGCAAAGTTGAAGTATATTCTGATACGGATTAAAATCAAGACTCGGAAAAGTGCAACAAAATGAATTTAACATTTTTAATCGTTTTGGGTTTACTCAAGGTTTTTTCAAGTGAGGGACAAAATAAATATGATAGGGATCGTGTATATTTTCCTGATACTTTGTCAAAAGTGCTCCTAGGTAGAAAAACAATGGAATAAATTCAATGGAATTTCGAAATAATGTGATTAATTTGAATACAAATAGCTATCAACGCCACAAATGGTGCAAAACATCCTGACATCTCATTTCGAAGTGGAATATGGAACACTGATCCCGTGGATCCTCTCCCAACAAGAAAGACGCACCGTGTAAATAAGAAAAGTTAATGTTATAAAATAATTAACAATGTATTTCCAAATTGTTGCTTTTTGACAATGAAAATAAATCAAGATTTTTGTGCTTAAAAACATTTAAGAAGACTTTATATTGCTGAAAAAGCAATTATATGCTTCTATAGTAATACATACATATATTAGAGCATACTCAAGTTACCGGTTAATATAATTCTCCAAATATGAATGTTAGCCATATATTGAAACAATTTGCTTATCGTAGAGTAACTTAGTGCCTTATGCTCAGAAAAAAGATGACATTTTTCAACAAAAGGAGTAAGAACGATTTTCGTTTGCCATAATAATAATTTGTCATTGAGCTTCTGAACCTCTCTACTTAACATAAATATATCATCACTATATCTATCTATAAAATATACACAAATGGTATATTTTATAAGTTAAATTGATCGTATGAATGTAGAACATTTAAACCAACTTTCTAATTTTGCTCTCAGGAATATAGTTTCTTTCTCAGCTGCTAGCTGTTTCTGGAAAGTATTAGGATTACCCTCGTATCGCTTTATGGACAATTTCCTATAAATTTCATGTGACGAAACGAAAATAAGGAAATACAAAAAACTTAAAGTTTTATTGAAAGTTATTTATGATACAGAAACAAATAAACTGACTCACTTTGGTATTGAACCTAACAAAAATTCAGTTTGAATATTTCATATCATATGAATCGAATTCGTAAATTTTTTCTGTTTGTCTTAGGAAAAATAAGTCTATTTTATATATAGCCATTGTGTATATTTCTTTTTATATGTATTATAATATATAGTGTTCATAAATATATGGCTTGTAATCAAGAACGCCAATAAAATACACCTCTTTAATAAACTATGTATGTATGTAGGTATGCATGCGTGTGTGCGTGCAAGCAAAAATTACAATAGCTGTGTACTAAATAACTGCGGACATGACGGCTGAATAACGATGGGCACGCAAACTATCGATAACCGTATCACCGCGAGCGCTTCATTTGGTATGCAGGAAGCGTCGCTGCGCTTGGAGGCAGCAGCTCATTTGAAATGCCCCCACACGCTCCCCGCGGTGGTGAATGCCCGTTGTTATGGCAGCTGTTATTGAGCCTTATTTGACATTTGGGCATTTTCGGGCAATTTTGCTTTATTTCAGATCGAGACGGCTTTGCGTCCACCGCTCACTTCCAATGCATATGTGGTAAGATGGCCTTTAATTATTAATGTTAATGCAAATACTTGACAGCAAAAATAACAAATGCTTAGCGTTAAGTCCAATTACAACACAATTGTCTCAGAAAAGATGTGTGCTAAAAACGTCAACAAGAACTACATTCACAAATACATATATTATAAAAAAAATATACACTTTAAGGTCGCAATTGCTTGATTTGCATATTTAATTTAGTTCATAGTTTTATTAGTTTAGTTCATTGTCGTGCACTTATATTTTGGGTTGGCTATTTTAAGCCCAAGTTTGTACTCGCAAATGTGTGCATTAAAATGCGTGGCTCAACTCCTCGAAAATCGGACTCATAAACAAACATACACACACGCACACAGCTGATTCTTCATAACCCTGCACGTTTTGCCCAAAACTTTGCCAATGTCAGCTCTTTGAACCAGCAATTATGTCGTGCTTCAAACCGTCGGGCAAATAAAACTATATAAACTCGAGCAGTTGTCATATTTTTATCAGTTTAGTTTTGTTTTCTCAACAATACAGCACAAACCAAACACAAAATGTTCAAATACGTAAGTATTTTCAATCATATTTCGTTAAGCATACAGATCACATATCGATTACCACAAAGAACCTCTTACTGAAAAATTTCCTCTTTTTGCAGTTCGCTCTCGTTTTCGTCGCTCTCTTCGCCTTCGCCGCTGCAGAGCCTAAACCCGCTGTGGTAGCAGCGCCATTCGCCTACTCAGCTCCTCTGGTTGCCTCCCCCTACTCCGCTGCCTATGCTGCTCCATATGCCGCTTACGCCGCCGCGCCCTATGCCGCCTACGCTTCACCCTACGCCGCCTATTCCGCTTACTCCGCTTACCCATACAGCGCCGCCTATGTGCTCCGCAAGTAAAGGGAACCTAGCAGAGGAACTATGGAACTGTGATTGTCCAATAAATGAAATTGATTGGCATTGAATAGAAGAAAATTTGACTCAAACTTTATGGAAATAATGAAATAAAACTGAAAATTTAGAAACGAAGTCACAAACTTTTATTATTTTAATATGCCTTTCACATGCCCATCTCAATTGGTCATTTTCAGAGCATAGAATATAGAAATACACTTGTAAAATAACAACATGGTTTGAATTCCCTTTGGATGAAAAAAAAATTATTCAAAATTTGAAGTTAATGGTCTCTTTTTTCTCTTCCTATAACTATAGGAAATCAGATAAACAAAACAAACAAAAATAGAGTAAGTAAAAACAAATTTCAGACAATATCAACCATTTGAATTATACGGTCCAAAGGAAACAAAAGACGTTCTGGAGGCGACCAAATATGAATGATATTTATTACTATCATTTGAGCTCATAAGAAGGACCTTTTTTTGATTTTGAGTGATTTTTGTAGAAAAGAAGAGGAAAATGCATAAAGTGATTATTTCTTCGTAAGAGACTAACACACAGTTTATGGCATACACATAAATCGCTTAAAAGAGATAAAAAAAGGACCCAAACTATTTAAAAGAAATCCTTTGCTTGAGTCAAATCCTTGAAATGTTTCCTTTTTCTTAAAACTTTACCACATTTCAATAAAAATATTAGATTTTTTCAATTTATTTATAACATCTCTCTCTCTCTCTCTAAATTGGGTGTAAGCACCTATCTTCAAGCCGTAAATCAATATTGAAAATTACATTTATTTACTTTGTGATATTGCAGTGTTATTGTATGGAATGAGAGTTTACGACACTTCTTTGATGATTATTAGGATATTTAAAGAACGCTGTGAGGCTAGCTAATTGACTTTGTCTTCTGCTTTGTGTTAATTGAAGGAGATTGTTCTTATTTAGGTTCACAAGAACAAAATTTATATACATATACACATAGAACATTCAAGTCAATTATTAAGCAAAGCTATAAAGGATTTATTATTTTAGGAATTTTGTCATCAAACTCAAATTGATGAAGAAGGGTTCTAATACTTTATGCAACAGCGAACTAAGTAAAAAAGAATTGGACGGGTAATAATAACATACTACATTTATCTTACTTTCTCTTAATTATAATTTGAATGGCTTAAGAACCCTTTAACAATTAAATTTCTAATTACCGGAAGCGTGGAAAATTAGTTGGATATATGTTGAGTACCACCAAGTGGCTCGCAGGCGTCTCTCATGATTCATTGTTCATATTTTACAGATTAAAATGCAAAAGACTTATCTTTATCGTTTATGGCTTTGTTTTATTTTTTCATTTTTATTCTTAAATTCCGGATCTTTTGCTACATTCCGTTTACTTGCGGAGCACATAGGCGGCGCTGTATGGGTAAGCAGAGTAGGCGGAGTAGGCGGCATAGGGTGCGGCAGCGTAAGCGGCATATGGGGCAGTATATGCAGCGGTGTAGGGGGAGGCGACCAATGGGGCTGAGTAGGCCAATGGCGCTGCTACGACAGCGGGTTTAGGCTCGGCAGCGGCGCAGGCGAAGAGGGCGACGAAGACGAGTGCGAACTGCAAGAAAGAATTCATTTATTATAACAAATCAAAATTATAATAAACAAATAACGATTAATACTTACGTATTTGAACATATTGAATGTTGGTTTTTGTTTGGTGTTTTACTGTAGTGAAGCAAAATTAAACTGATAATGAAATCACTTATCGCTCGGCTTTAAATACTTGTGGATTCATGCATTATTCACGCGTATGTAAGTATGTATTCGGTCGGTTTTGTAATGCCCACTGATGTATGCAAGACACTCGTGAGTAATGGAGAGGATAAGTAAGATTCTTCGACGTCAACCCATGCTCTATAAGTCGTTAAAGCGTGTGTATATATGTACGTATATCGATATGCTTCCATTATATCCGTATACATATACAAAATATATGAAGACGTATGCACTACATTGGTAGTGAGAGAAGATATGGATCGATATTAATCAATTTGACATGGAATCACTATATGCTAACCAAAATATTTTTAATAACTACACTAATATTAAAGGTGAAACAGGATGGAAATCATTATCTTGGATAAATGACTTTTAAAGAGTTAACCGATTTCATTAACAGCAATAAGCTCAAGAAATTGTAATAGGTGCATTTAATTCCATTAATAGACTTACACATTAAGCGTCAACTAGAAGAGCGGAAGCCAAAATATTGGGTTAATGAGTACTTAAAAAGATCGGGATCGATTCCAGCCGCGTTAAATGAGTAAACCACATTTTAGTCAATAAAATTCATAACAGTTTAATAAGCTGATGACATTAATAACTATATCACACTAAAAGTGGGCGTGATTGTATTCCGATTCCGCAATTGTATCAAGAGAATATTATAAACGAAACTGGTTCATATGGATCAAGTAGTTTGTGAGCAATGAAATTTCACCCAGCAATGAGAAGTGCCAAATGTTTCGGTTTGAAAATCTAGATACAAATTTTTATTTCTTTTAGAATTGAACGAAGAGATCACTGAGTAGAATGCTATTCTCAAATATTGGGACTTAAGTGCGACGAGTTTCAGCAAAAATTTTACTAATTGTTACTGAAATGTTTCTATTAAAAAGTTATTGTGAGTTGGCATGTCCGCACGTCCACGAAGACCATGAAATGACAGTGAAGTGCTAAGCAAAATAATGGTTTAATATGCGCGACGACTACCAAGTGACGACCGAAAATTGGCTTGCCAAAACCACACTTAATTTAAATAATAAAAGAATTTTCGACAAAATTGCGTATATTTTCATTCAAAGTCAGACATACTCATTTGCAAACTAAGCCACTGCAGATATCTACATTTCGTTTTTTTTTTTTAGTTTTGCGAAAATGGAAGAGTATTTAAACTCGAGCAAAGCAACTTACTATTATCAGTTAAAATTTGCTCTACCACAAAGCAACTTCCAAACTAAGAATAAACAAGATGTTCAAATACGTAAGTAACACATTTTATATGTAACAAGTAACTAACTTTTAATATACTTTCAATTTACTTTATAGTTCGCTCTCGTTTTCGTCGCTCTCTTCGCCTTCGCCGCTGCCGAGCCTAAACCCGCTGTGGTAGCTGCACCATTCGCCTACTCAGCTCCTCTGGTCGCCTCTCCCTACTCCGCTGCCTATGCTGCCCCATATGCCGCTTACGCTGCCGCTCCCTATGCCGCCTACGCTTCACCTTACGCTTCACCCTACGCCGCCTACTCCGCTTACCCATACAGCGCCGCCTATGTGCTCCGCAAGTAAATGAAAAGTAGCGGATGATCTGTGATAACTAAATTGGATTTGATTGGCAATGAAAGTGAAAATTTTATTTGGCATTGAAAATAAAAACAAAACCGAAGAACATATTGCATTAATGTATTATTTTATAGTCGTTCAAATAAATTAAACTTTACTTACTATAAAAAATTTAGGATCAACGATTTAAGGCGCAAAAATCGTGGATATCAAGAAATATTTAATTGTAATATTGGAAAGAAATATAAAAATTCATATTTTGAATTACTAAGCGCAGGTTTTTCCTCTTAAAAGACTTTGATGTCTGATAGAGTCGTATTTTGTAGAAACCAAACGATTTTCAGCGACTGCTATATAAAGTTGGACGATTGCTATGATGTTTAGTATGGAAGCTGCAAACTTTCATTTCTCAAAATCCTTCACCGGCGGTGTCCTGCTCATATGTCGAAATATTAAGAGCAGTGATAATAATAAAAACAAAAACTAGTCATGTCCGACAACGAAATGCCATTTATATAAGCCGTAAGTATAACGGAAGCAGTTCACAACGTGGAAGCGAAGACGGTCGCGCGGCACATAGAGCCAAATGAAATGAAGCGCATTTGCTTATTTATGCATTAAGCCACGCAAACGTCTATTCGCCGCAAACGTCAAATGTATATGTGTATGTTTGTGTAGGAGAGCGAAGACGCGCGAAATGTAACCGCATAACCACGTAACAAAAACAAACATGAGAGTGTATGTGTGTGTCTGTATGGGTGTTTGGAATGCAGTTCATTTGTATGTATATGCCTGTATCCTTATGGCCCACAACTGAAAGCAATTCATGAAGTATTCCCAATTACGGAATGGCTTAAATCTGAATTCAAAGCGCCTCAAAGCATAACGTGGCGAATACGAAATGAACGAACGCGCGACTACAACTCGAGCATCGAAATTAAATTTCCGGTCTACAAACGCTTTTCCAACACAAAAGAGCATCGTACACCCACACACACACACCCACCCAGGTATGTTGGGAACTTGCATTGCAAACCAATCACAATAGGCGATTGCCGTATAAACATACATACTCGGATCGGAGAAAGTGCTCGGTATTTCAGTCGGTCAACCTTCACGCACGTTGCAGCAAGATGGCTGAATGCACTTCTCAAACAATACTAAGTGCTTTGTCCATTTCAGCAATGGTTCGGAGCAATGCGAGCAATGTGCGCTGCTGACCAGCAATTGCAACAACAGCAATAACAGCAGCTTAAGTAGCACATTCAGTGGACAAAAGGATTTTCGAAAGTATTCAACGTGATGTGCACTGCGGGAGTGGAGATTCATACGAGCAAATGATAATTAACATGCACTTTCATACCTGAGCATGTGTGTAAGGTTGTATGTATGGATTTAAGGTTGTATTTATACAAGAACTAGTCTGTTTTAATTCAGTGCCCTCAAAGTATTCCCAATTGTATTAAATCGCCTGTGCCCAGGGTAATCACAATCAGTTGTGCAGAGCACGTATGTGTGTGTGTGCAGGAAAGGTCAGTAGTGCTCAAGGGCATGACAACTAATCAGTGAGCAAACAAAAACATCATTAGAGATTCCACACAGAGTCGCTGTTTTGCGGTGAGGCATCAGTGGACTTTGCTTCCAAAGCAGCAATGCGTTACAGCCTCCAAATTCAATGCGCATAATCCGCCGATTCTGGAGAGTTCATCTGGCAGCACTCAAAGTTCCATTACATTAAGCACAATGCCGCGTTAAAATCATATTGAATTAAAAACAATGGAAAACTTCGTCTATTTTCCACTCATTTGCACTGCGCACTTTTGGCCAAATGCAAGTTTCAATTTTATTTTTCTAGTTTTCAAGTAGCTCTTGTAAGTAGTCATGTTTTTGATTAATTTGTGAAACTCGCAGAAAGAACATTCAAAAGGAAGCGATGCAAACTCTATACTTCATGTGAGAGACATTCCACAATTACGGCTGTGGAACTTGCTTTAAGATTTAAAGCATGCCAGATTATAGATTAACCCCTTTCAATTATTCTGTTTTTGATTTATTTTTGGTAATTTTTTTCGTCCCGCAACCTAAACTCTGGTTGAATTTGTGTGGATGTACTGCATCATTCAGCCATTTAATCAATCATGAACTGAAAATCAACTGCGTTAAATAAAGTTAAACATTATGAAAAATCATACATTATAACATATACTTGTATACCGCATTTTTTGAAGATATCCTTATCTTTCCTTACATTTTTCGAATATTCAAAAGGTAGAACCGATTATTGTTATATTCTAAATTATATATGTATTTTCCTCAAAGACTGATTAGTTGCTCCAAATTGTTTGAAACCGAAGAGTGAAGAGTTTAGTTAAGACAAAGAAGCTTAGAGCTTCTTATAGCTGTTGAAATTTCTCGTAATTATAATTTACTTAAAACTAACTTCAACACTATATTCTAACCACACTAACAATCCCCCAAATCCTTAGTGTGTAATTTATAGAACAAAAACATCTCCCAATTCCTATTAGAGCAAAAAACTTAAGTGAAATTGATTAAAAAACATTTGGCTATCGTTTATGCTTTTTGTTTTATTTTTCCATTTTCATAATCCTTCAATTTGGTTCCTTTCCACTAGTTTTCATTTACTTGCGGAGCACATAGGCGGCGCTGTATGGGTAAGCAGAGTAGGCGGCGTAGGGTGAAGCGTAAGGTGAAGCGTAGGCGGCATAGGGAGCGGCGGCGTAAGCAGCATATGGGGCAGCATAGGCAGCGGAGTAGGGAGAGGCAACCAGAGGAGCTGAATAGGCGAATGGCGCTGCAACCACAGCAGGTTTAGGCTCGGCAGCGGCGAAGGCGAAGATGGCGACGAAAACGAGTGCGAACTGTAAGTCAAAATAAATTATTTTTATGCAAAATTCTATCTATACTTGTAAATAAATAAGCTTTTAGTTAGCATATTAAGGCAATTTGGAGGATAATGACATAGCAATACTTACATATTTGAACATTTTGCTTGTTTGTGGCTTGTTAGTTGCTTTATTGCAGACGAGCAGAATAAAACTGATAAATGTGTGATGCGTTGGTCTGGCTTAAATACTTTTAAAATTATAGAAAAATTTTCTGCGTAGCACAAAAACAAGAAGAGCCAATTAAATTTATTTGCTTCTTATGCTCTACTTAAATATTTGACCACGAATTGTGACACATGTGGCTTGAGCACGTACGTTTCTGTCGCAAAGTCCTTTGCTTTTGTTGTAAATTCTCGTTAGTTAAAGCCAAATTTATTTGGTATTTACTTAAGCCGTTGTAGTGCGCATATTAAGTTAACATTTTGCCTTCGGCTTTTCACTGTCGCTTCAGGTCATCAAAGTGATTGATATGTATGTGTGCATATATATAATAAATGTATTATATAATCATTTCCTCAAATAATATTTTTAGCAAACAATACTTAGACCTGATGTTTTTATCTTTGCAGCATTTACTTATACAATAATATGTAATTACAATTATGAGTGACTATCACTACTGACTTCTCAATTGAGTTTTCCTTGACCTTGCAGTATCTGTAGTGTTTAGGTAATCAGTACATACTCATACATGAGTAAAAATGTAATTGCAAACATGGCTGATAAATATTTACCAATTCATTGAGCCAAATACGTGTTTAGGTCAGTAATGTCATCTTTTCGTTTATTTACCCACCCAATTCGGCTCGAGTACATGCAAATTATTTGTGGGCACTAGCTCATATATTTACCCTTAATATACAGCCGTTGTGTTCGCAAATTGTATTTAAGCTCGAGTCTTCACTAAATAGTTAATCAGTTCCATTTTTCTCTACAACAGTAAAACAACTACCAAACAACAAAACAGTCAAAATGTTCAAATACGTAAGTGAATTTTATATGCAAGAGCCCTGGAATCCTTCGAATTTCATAAATATATATGCAGTTATATCGGCAATTGAATAATCCTTTATTAATTACTACATCTACTTGCAGTTCGCTCTCGTTTTCGTCGCCCTTTTCGCCTTCGCCGCTGCCGAGCCTAAACCCGCTGTGGTAGCAGCGCCATTCGCCTACTCAGCCCCATTGGTCGCCTCTCCCTACGCCGCTGCCTATGCTGCCCCATATGCCGCTTACGCTGCCGCACCCTATGCCGCCTACGCTTCACCCTACGCGGCCTATTCCGCCTACTCCGCTTACCCATACAGCGCCGCCTATGTGCTCCGCAAGTAAATTATAGAGGAGAATATGAGCGAATATTAAAAAAAGCTGAAAATGACGCAATATTCAATAGACAAACGGTCGAAAACTTACGAACAAAAAATAAATAAATGAAAAAGTAAAACCGAAAATCATTGGCTTTTTTATTTTTTTCGAACGAAAAGATTCCAGGCCTTCCATTTGTATATATACATTGTATTTATTATACTTTGAACAGGGTATATTAAGTTTGCTACGAAGTTTGTAACACCCAGGAGGAAAGAAATGAAATATATACATATATGATCAGCATGATAAGCTTTGTTGATTTAGCAGTGTCCGTCTGTCTGTCCATCTGTCCGTCAATCCGTCTGTATATACGCGAACTAGTCTCTCAGTTTTTGAGATATCGATCTTAAATTTAGTATGTAACCTTTTCTCACCAAGAAGCTGCTCATTTGTCGAAATGGCCGATATCGTACCACTATAGCATATAGCTGTCATACAAGCTGAATGATCGGAATCAATTTCTTCTTATATATTAGTAAAATAAATACAAGTCAAGTGTTGTAATATACAATAGTGTTAAAGCTGTCATCAGCGTTTTTGGTTATTAGAGATATCAGGAATATCTTTAGTTCATCCCAAGATTACACTATTTTCGTTCACATTTTAGAATTTAGATCTTTATTAGACGTCGGGAGTATTAAAGCTAGAAGGTATTTTTTAATAACCAAGGAAGGAGTTTCGGTTGGTCTTGGCATTCAAAACTTTGCAGCCAACTTCGTGCTTTAATTCGTACATGAACCACATTTTAATAAAAGTAGATATTGTCGTCAAATATTTGCGTCCCTTTGAAATACCTATAATCGACTTAAGGAGTAAATGTTTTCAATTTCCATTAATAGATTGATTAATATTGGTTCGATGGCACGAGTTTGGTTTCACTGTTTAAAATAAAAACCTATTATCAAATCTAAACAAAAATTAGCTAAAAGTCAACATTTAGAATGAGTATTCATTGATATGGTCGGCTATTTGCTTTAATAGCGAATGCTCGTAATGCAATTTCTAAAGCAGCAAAGCAATCAATTCCGGGTAGAAAACTGAAAACGAAGGAAAAACTGCTGGATGTGCAGCTAGACTTGTGCCAATATGTTTCCAATATCGAATTTATGGTAATAATGCTGTAACATAGATCGAATCGTACACGTATATCACAGTAACATAGCTATATAAGAGTATTCCTTAGGTGCCTTCAAAGGGCTGAGGTATTATTAGAAGATATTTCATGCTTAAAACATGTCCCCACGTTTGACCTTGCTTTATTTTTACTTACAATCATCCTGAAAGGGTAAGGGATAAACAATTTGTTATACTTTTTTTTGAGTGTTAACGGACATCTTCAATATTATTTTAACATATTTTGATTTCAACATTGTGTTCAATTTTTTAAACCTATATCAAAGGCCCGATTTAAATCAGCTTTCACTTGCTAGTTCTGCGAATTAACTGCAATTTAGTGTGAATAATATTTTACTATCAAATATTGTCTTTTGACAGAAAACAGGTTTTATTTGAGTAGTAAAAAAAGTATAAAGCTTTTTTGTTATTTTAATATTCGTTTTATTTTTTTTTTCATATTCCTGAGGACTCATATTCGAAATCAATTGACTATTCACTTCATCAAGAGCAATATATTAGTTTTTCAGCTTCCATTTACTTGCGGAGCACATAGGCGCCGCTGTATGGGTAAGCTGAGTAGGCGGAGTAGGCGGCGTAGGGTGAAGCGTAAGGTGAAGCGTAGGCGGCATAGGGAGCGGCGGCGTAAGCGGCATATGGGGCAGTATAGGCAGCGGTGTAGGGAGAGGCGACTAGTGGGGCTGAGTAGGCCAATGGTGCTGCTACCACAGCGGGTTTAGGCTCGGCGACGGCAAAGGCGAGGAGAGCGACGAAAACGAGAGCGAACTACATATAGAATAATTTATAAAGGATTATTATAAATAGCAATTTTCAATTGAAAGAGTCTCTAATTGTGGACAACGATTTTCACTTACGTATTTGAACATTTTGATTACTGTGTTGTTTGGTAGTTGTTTCACTGTGGTGTAGCAAAATGGAACTGAATGCAAATTGGTTGATTGATCGAGTTTAAATACGAATTTTATGTACGCACATCGAAGGTGCCTAAGTAGTTAAGCATTTTAATTTATCAGGCGTTTGTGGGTGGCAAACGAATGTCAGCACAAAGCAGAGGCCAATGCAAACTTTAGAAGTTCGATCGTTATATCTATATAAAATACTCTTCTTCTTGTTCTTTGCACTTATTTGAGAGTAATTCAATGATGGGATAGCTTATTACTACTTTTGTGATAATATTTTATATTTACAATGAAAATAGTTTCTTCCGTTCTTTAGTAGAAAAGTGATTTTAGCTTTTAGTAAAATATTAAAAGTCGAAAAAATTTAATTTATAGATTTTCAACTCAAAGTTGCACTATAAGAACTATAAATGTGTGTTGGATGTTTATATAACATCACAAATTAAACGAGCTTTCCATTTCTGTAGTGCGTCTTGGAAATAACCGATGTGTGAAGGGTTAATCCGATATCAAATGGCTAATCAAATTATATTCAAGAATTTATATTTATCTGAGGCCGCAATAAGTGATGGACCTTCATTAGTTACCTTACAAGTGTATTTAGCAGCTTTTGTAAATTCATTTTAAAAAGATTATCTGCTTTTCATAAGAATGTTCTGAATCGTATGATATTAACACTAAATCCTACTGACCTTTGTTCCATTCGAACGTGATACCCATATTCTAAAGTGACTTCTCATTTTGGTTTTTTCATTGCCGAAATCATTATGTTGCACACACTTCCGTACATACAAATTATTTTGCTTTGCATTTAAAGCCTAAACATTTTTTTGGAGACCGGTCAAGGGATTCAGAGTTCGTTGAACTTAAAAATTGTAATTAAATACAATATCGATGACCCTCGGAGTCTTCAGCGGATGATTCACTCATAAATTTCATTCACCAAATTCATATTTATTTTCCTTCAAACACTTACACAAATTACTATTCCAAGCGCGTTCACAATATCACGATTTATACGATAGATCCAAAGCAATAAGCAAAATGTGATATCCTCAATAAATATTTATGTTGCTCACAAGTAACATAAGTGCGTCCGATTCGGAAATAGGTGTTCGCACGTGAGGCAGCTCAACGTCAATACAAATTCGGAACTTCGGACCCAAATTCTGCTGCCTGACCTTCCCCAAATCTATAACTTTACAAGCCCAAATGTATGTAAAAGTGTCGAATGGGAATTTACTTCCCTACTTTCATTTGTATGAGTAGAACTCGTAAATCTGCCTATCGTCAGATGTCATAATTGAGTTATTGCATGATTTGAGAACAAAACCCAAGAATCTTATCAGCAATTTGAAATTAAAATGCAAAAGTGGTAAGTCGAGATCGTTATTATGTGTCTGCGAACATGACTGAGTAGCATTACCAACACAAGACAACAACAAAGAAGCGAATAAAAGCAAAAGTAAAAACTTAGCAATTTGATGAAAATAACCCCAAAGCCATGTGTGGGAATTAGTATGCCGTCCACACCGCGCCACTGCGCGTCGCAAACCAAAAATATCTACTACCAAACGCACACGCTTCAAGCAGGCCTTACACTGCGGCCAGCTAACGCGCCATCAACTACGGCAGCGTCTGCACGCAACGGCCTGACACACGGACGTGCCATGGACAGCCAAGACTGATGCAAAAAGTGGTCGGAAAAAAATGCGAAAGCAAAAACTATTTACCTACGCCACACACACACACCCATCCGCACCTCTGTGTGTAGTTAATGTGTTTCGTTTTTGTTGTCAGTGACAGTAATGAGCACTTAACGTGGCCATTAGCGCACAGCCGGCTGCCGTGTAGCGGAGGTTGAAGTACCAGTGCTAGCCGTTGGGGCTATAGAACCTATTTTGCTTAACGCACATGCTAGCCGTACATGGATTATTGGAAGCTGCAAATGGTGGGCAGAATTCGTGTATAAAAGCTTATATCATCGGCTTTGATTAAACAGTCTCATTTGTACCGCAATATTAAACTTAAGTCTACGCAGCACGTTCCGCTTAAACAATTTGGAAAACATGTTCAAATACGTAAGTTGTTTTTGTTCTACACTGCCTTCTTATTTTTGTGCGAAAGGACGAACGCAGTAATTAAATTTTAACTTTTACTTACTTCCAACTTCTTCTAGTTTGCTTTGTGTTGTTTCGCGCTTTTCGCTCTGGCGGCCGCCAAACCCAGTGTTATCGCTCCAGTGGTCAGCTACTCGACGTCACTGATTGGCACTCCGTTCGCTGCCACCTACACTTCGCCCTACGCCGCCTACGCTCCTTATGCCGCTGCTTATGCTCCATACTCGGCCTACTCGCCTTACTACACTGCATACTCCACTTACCCCTACGGTTCGATATTGCTCAGGAAGTGAGCTAGTTAATAGAAACGATCAATTGAATTGTCTTCAGTATTATTTCACCTTATTTTAAGATTCACGAAATAAAAATCGAGTTCTGTTTTGAAATACCAATTCTTACTTATGAAATCGTAATTCACATATTTTCATTATAAATTACTAGAATCAGACAGCCAGAAAACGCAGGAATGCTTTACCATCGTTGAATGATTTAGACTATATAGATTTCCGGTATGCAATGTGTCAAGTTTTTAATAAAAAGGTCCAAAGGAGGCCGATAAATCGGATTGGAAGATCCGATTAAGACGGATTTTCCAAGCAACAAGACTAAATATCGCAGTATAAAGAATTATAATCATAAAATTATGAGAAGGAAACAATAAAACAAAACCAAAGCGAACCGGGAAAGCTCCGTAGCGAAATGTTTCGTTCTCCCACTTACTTGAGCCGAGTGAAATGCTCGACTGCCAACATATGACGTGTCATAAACGAATTACTTATTCATCTACATACACATATTCGAATGTATTTATCTTATCAAATGACGTTTGCCACAGCTTTGACAAATCTAATTACGTCAGCATTGATAGAATAAGGAGGCTTACGGAAAATCCATGAGAGGCATCTTCGCATAAAAAATCAATATAAACAGCAACAATTTTCGCGCTATCTGGCTTCCACTTGCTGTTGCCATGTTCTTTACAATGTCGGATATTTGCTGTCAACTTTTTGACAGATAATGATTAAATGTTAATGTTGTGCCATTTCAGCCGGAAAAATGTTACAAAGTCGAAGAATATTGCGGGTGTGGAAGTCATAAAAAGTTACTGAAAGGAACAAACTAAAGTGCAGACAGTTGTCATTGAAAGTGTGAAAATTCACTGTCGACCGCAATGATGATAAACAGCTTTATTAGGTATAAAATATTTTTTGAATAAGCTTCTCAATGAATGTGTTAAATGGCACGCAGCAAGCTTACAGTAGGTATTAAAACTAATGGCTTAATGAAAACTTTCATATAATCTATCATCTAATTTTTGGGTAAAACTGAAATTTTTGAAACGACAGGACGAAAAAGAATTGACCATGCAAAATGTGACTTTGTCATGCTTACAAATCTTATGAGGGTTGGTGAAATCACTTTGAAAATTCAAATAGGTCAAACCCTTTTAAAAAAGTTCTTTATAGGAGAAACCTCATGCCTAGAAATCAAGTAGAACTAGTCGGGCGGTAAATAAGACACTTCTTTGATATTCACAGATTCGACCTTTTAGAGCATATCGACGATATTTGAAATCTAAGGTGGAATAACGCTTCCCACCAAGTATATCCCCTCTCGACCAACAATACTATATAAGATCGATGAGAATGTATAATAGCACTCCGGGTGTTAGTTCAGCGGATCTACTACAAGTTGCCAGCGACTTGCTATCGGAAAGGAATGAGATAGTGGCAGACCTCAGCTGCGTTAAAAGACCAAATGGAATAGTCAAAACCGCGTAGTCGTTCGTAGAGCCAAACTGTAGAAGAATCTATACAAAGTATTTAGTATTAAAAACTATAATGAATACACATATTTCCAATACTTTGCTGTATATCGAACCCAGAAGATGCTGCTGCTGCTGAGATACATGCGCAACACTCGGAAATTTTCCACGAACAGTTTTCATTACAAACATTTCATTTATCATTAAATAACGTTAAATCTATAATATGCACACACTCACGAAGCGCTTAGAATCGCATTAAACATGGATTTGTACAATACAGGCGACACACACACACTCGCACACGAACACTTTGCATATGCATAATAAATCTTTTGTGGTCGTCTACACGCGAGCAAATATATTTAGTTATGCCTGTGTGTAGGATAAATGCGATGGTGGCGCTTCGTCGACAGCGGTTAAACGGCCATTAGTCGATTAATTTACGTATTAGCAGCTAAATACCCCCAACATGCACGCATGTACACACACACACTTCTGCATGGCAAGCTCTATAATTAATTTTGCGCTTTATCAATTAGATATATTGTAGCATATCTGCTCAAAGGAGACATCCACACACTACAATTCCGGGATAACCAGTGAATATCGCGCCACTATCCAAAGTGGGGAGAAGAGCGCAACAAAGTTATACTTTACGGTATTTTCTTTATAATATTTTTATGTATCTGATATGTGTGCTATGTGAATATGAAAGATGTCACTCTCGTTTGCTACTGAAAGTCGTGTTTTTCTGCTTCGTTATTGAAACTCCGTTATGCTATGTGATTGTGTTTAACGAGGAGGATACGAATGTTCTTATTATTTCATTATATTTAAATCAAAATTTTTATTTCGTTTTAAATAATTTTTCTGTGTTGAACAGTTGGCCGGCTTGTATTGTATATTTCTTCGAAGCTTCATTCATTTGAGACAAATTTACAAAATATCCGCATTTGAAATTTCCATCGAACGATCGATTGCATTCAAAACTTCTAGTATTCATTAAAATTCTTAGGAAAAAATGGCACGTGCATGCAATAAATCAAAACGCTGACAGCCGATTGCCGAGAGAACTTTGACAGCTGAAAGGAAGGATGTGGCAGAATGCAAAGCGAATGCATCTGTCAAAACTTGAGCAACGACCGAACGCGTTTGAGTGCCGTCAAAATGCCGTTCTTGCGATTGATGCGCACACATACACAAGTGAAAAGCTGAAATTCTCGTTTAACCCTCCGACGAACACTTGATTTATTGCAGCGCTTTGTATTGAATACGGAAATTGTTTAAATATTAAAGTTTTTAAATTAACTAAGAGACTTTAATGGGTAAAATGCAGTTAGAGTTTTGAAAAGGGATTGCAAAAATAATTAACAGGCAAATGATAAGTTGCAAAGGCTTTATTATATTAACAATTGGCATTGTAAATAACATTAATACGAAGTTGTTTTGTATTGAAGGGTGAAGATGGAAAAACTTACTAATAACTATTTTATATACTTTTTCTTATTTTATAACATCTGATTGTTAAAGTATTTTGCACGAAAACTGCTTGAGGAAAAAGTTAAACCTTTACTGGTTGCTTCTCACATGTATGATTACCAAGAAGGGGATTCGCAGAGATATTATCAGCGTGAAACTTCGCAAAACATAGACATAAGAAAGTGCTAAAGCACACTGCTCAGAGTAAAAGGTAATTTATTCGCACAAATAGACACATGTCTAAATACGAATGTATGTATATCAGCCAAATCGGCCACAATCAAGGCTCAAAGAATTACGAAAATCAACAGAAGCGTTTTCCTTACACACCAACCCATGTTTCCGAGTTTCGTATACACATACACTTTCTTGCATGCCAGTAAGTGTTTAAGTCAGCGTTGGTGTACATATGTAAGTCATTATGTAAATATGTGTGTATGCACAAGAAGAGTGTATGTTTACTTAAGCGTGTAAACAAGTGTAGCGAGAAAACCTGCTGCATATTCACAACTGGCTGCTGCGGTGTTGCCGAAAGCCTAATGGCACACTGTGGCGTATGAGCAACATTTCGTTGTTCCCGGTGATATTTGGCAGCATAACCGCCGAGGCTATAACAAAACAACAATGTGTAGGCGAGAAAGTTTTTCGTCTACACATACACTTGATCGGCGCAAACACAATCATATAAGTGTCTGTATGTGTGTGTGCGCTTTTGACAAAGATATAATTTTTAAGTCACAAACTTCGGCTATACATGAGGGCGGCGGTATTTTCGTGTTATGCTTCATTGAGTTTATGAAAATACCAACCTACGCACATCATCAGAAGTGCTCAGCTGCCAGTTATGCTGCATGCATAGCTATTTATGTGTGTAAATCGTGTTGTCACATCCATCTACGTCAAGACTTACCTGCAAATAGAAATAAAATGAGAATATTATTTCGGTGCAATGTTTTTTTGGTGAAGAAAAATATAAATATTTACATAAAATCAGGTGTGTATAAATACAATTAAGATATGCAAATACAAATAGTTGAAAACAAACCTATATACATATGTATCGTTGTGGGTGAGTGTGTGAGTGTATCAGCTTTTGGCAAAACCACACACAGCTCAATAATCATATAGTTAGTAGGAAAGTGGAGAGACTTTTGACAACATATGTAACTCATCAACATCGTGTTTAAAAATGCAATAACAAAAGAGAGGATACATATGAACATATGTAGATACATGAGAAATTTCCTGTATTTGTTTAAGCTAAAAACATGATTAGCATACCCAAGCGCTTGGCGATGCGGTGAAAGAGTAAAAACAAAAAAAAAACGCCAACTAGAAATCATATTTGTTGCGCCTAACAATATGCCTTTGAATGAAAACAGTGAAGAAGAAGCAGAAGAGCCAAATGAAAAAAAAAACCAAGCAGTGATTAAAGAAAACAGATTAATTTATACTTTATTTATATCCTTAAATGGTTCAAGCCCGTTTACTAACTTTGCAACTCTACAACTTAGCAAAGCCGCCAACCTGAGCTGTTGCTTTCAAATTAGTTACAATTTCAATAATTTTTTAATTTCAAAGCTCCAAAAAGTGTAAATTGATTGTCTATTCTCAAATTCGTAATAGATACCAAAGCAGCTTACCACACTATAACGCCTAAAAGTAGATCTTCCAGTCATACATACATCAATGGAAAGGCTCGTAAGCACTTACCAGCCCAAAACTAAACATTTTAACATGCTGTAGTTACAGTTATTTTCGCTACAGGGTTTTCAGACTTTACACAAAAGAACTGGTGGGGCATACAAATCACAGCTCAAGGATTTCAACGAGCTTGCCAAGTGTGCGCGTACCCGCAAATGCACAGCCCAAAGCCGCCGAACCGACTTGTAGACGAGTGTATATATTTTTGCGAAAACATAAGGCAAAGCGTGCATCTATGTGTGCATGTTAGACCCGATGAGAGGCATATATACATGCATATATATGAGCGTGTTGTAAAGAGACATTTTATATTTTTATGCATTACTTTTCTGCCACGTTTCGATAGTTAGCGTATTGCATCTTGCGTTATGTCACATTTCGTTCCGCTGCTTGCGTCAAGGGATTAAAAATCATAAACATACATTCGTTGAAGAC